TTCAGGTAGTTTTCTTGTGAAGGATTGCCTAAATGATACATTTTAAGATTAATGGGATTTCAGGTAAAATGGATTATTATTATTAAAAAAATAAAATGTTGCTTTTACATGTTATCTGGGTTTAAAGACATGCTTCCAGAGAACTGTGTGGAGGACAAAACCAAATCATTCGACCCAAATGGAGTCATGGCAGAGATTATTCACAAAGATCGTCCTCGCGTTCAGCTCAAGTAAGTCTCAACTGAAGCTGCTGTTCAAAAGTTTGGGGTCAGTAAGATTTTATTTGTTTTTAAAAGAAATAAATCATTTTATAAAGCAAGCACACATTTAATTGAGCAAAAGTGACAGCAAAGACATTTATACTATTACAAAAGATGCCTTCAAGTCAATTCTGTTTGAACTCATTAAAGAATCTTGAAAAAAATGTATCATGGATTCCACAAAAATATTAAGCAGCACAAGGGGTTTCAATATAATAAATGTGTCTTGAGCAGCAAATCAGCATATTAGAATGATTTCTGAAGGATCATGTGACAGTGAAGACTATTTAAAAATATATTAAAATTGAAGATAATAAGATAATATTTAGTTTTTACTGTATTTCTGATCAGATAATAATAAGACTTTTTTGAAAAACTTTTGAACAATAGTATAAAAGTACCATGCCATCTGATGTGACATGATTTGACATATGATACGATATGTAATATGATACAATCATGTGTGTTTGATAATTTTTTAATCTTTTTTTATACCCGTCCTGCAGGTATTCTCATGTTTCTCCTCTAGAGCTGGACAAGTTTCTGGAGGATGTGAAGTAAGTGTTACCAGTTAAAGCAATAATGTAAGAAAGTAGCCTGTGGTTTTTGTGGTTTGTAATGTGTACATGTGCATTTTACCGCTCAGGAATGGCATTTACCCTCTGATGAACTTTGCGTCCACTCGACCCCATCCCGTACCTCGTGCCCTCTCCATGTCCCAAGAGCAGGTGGAGACAGTGAAGACCCCCACGCCGGAGCCGCAAGAGGCTGAGACCAGGAAGGTGTGCGTTCTCATCAAAACACATTTACTGTATAATAGTTCAGTTATTTCTTAGTTAATCTTAAGTTGTCATTCTAGGTGGTACAGATGCATTGTAACCTGGAGTCTAATGAAGAAACTACTAAAACTCATGTGAGTTTGTCTCAGTTTAGTACACATGCTATTTTGTTTAAAGATTCATCCAAGAGCAGTCTTGATCAGTGACACAGTGGTGTTAGAATGGGATTGTGGTTCTCTGTTTAGTTCTTTGTGTTTCTGGTGATTCATCTACATTTGTTTTAATTGTTATTAATGATAATGCAGACTATTATACTCATGTTAAGGGGTACAACATGGCAACATCTGTTGAATCAGTGGCAAATTAACTGATATCTGCTGTTTTCACAGCTCACTCTTTTCTTGAAACTGGATGATAAACTCCATCGGCAGCTCAGCTGTGATATTATGCCAAGTGAGTTTAACCACATTGACTTTTTTTTTGCAAATATATTTTTCACATTTTTCATCATCTCTTCACCACATAAGTGCAGTGGTGCTAAAATTGAATGGCACCCAACAATGCAGTAGTATGTCACTACTGCATTGTTGGGTGGCATTAAATTTTAATTTCTACTTAAATTTTTATGGCGTTAAAAAGTGAATAAATAAATAAATAAATAAATACTTATTTAATTTAAATTTTTAATTTCACATTATGATATTTTAATCAAGGTATAATTCCTACAAAATACTATTTTTTATTTGAACTAAGTAGACTTTAGTGTTTTGTGACTCAGAACTTACTTAAACTATGAAATTATATTTATTTAGTTTTTCAGCACATGAAATAAAGCTGGAATAAAATAATATATAAATATTAGATGAAAAAACGGTTGCTTTAGCAACTTGCTTAATGTTTTATTAATAAGTACTAACAGTAACAGTTCTGAAGCGGAAATAAAAATAAATGAAAGCTCAATAAAAATAAAATAAAAATGCCGAAAGTACAACAGAATTGCTGAAACTTAAACTATAATTAAAAATAGTTTAAGTTTTAGTAAATCTGTTGTGCTT